TCTATAATATTTTAAAAGTAGACTTGTACTTTATATAAAATCTCAATTAAATATTTAATAAAGATAGAAGCATGGCCTTACCATTAATATTTAAAAAAAATAAATAAATAAATAACATAATAAATCTATATTGATAAAAAGATTTTAAAAAAGAGTAAGAGTATATAAATGCAAGTAAAAAAAAAAAAAAGAAATATATACAATTAAAAAAACTAAAAAAAATATATTAATACAGAAGCAATTAATATAGCTAATTTAGTTGATTCATATTTTAATTAGACTTTTACTAGATTTGTAATTGTCTAAATTTTGTTAAAAATAATTTCTAATATATAAATACTTGATTCAATAAATTATAAATATGCTTGATAATATACAATAATGATTACTTAAAAACAATTTTGAGTATCAAACTACCCCATTCTTTTTAGTTATAAAAAATCTAAATAATAATGAAATTACAAATAATATCTTATCTATAACAGTTATATCTATTAAAATTCCAGAATGTATTAATTATGATAATCTTGACAATCTTGAAAATGATGTTCATTTTTATGTAAAAAAAATTAACACTTATTTGAGCAAGTGACAAAATGAATCTGTACTGAGAAAATGACCAATAATTGGTGTCATGTCCATGCTATGATAAAATGAAACCATTTAGTAAATATGAAAGAAAATATACAATCAGTAAAAAGAAAGAGGCATAAACAAGCCACTTGGACTTCAACAAGTAAAGAACCATATTTAATGTATTTACCACGCTCGAATGAATTAGAGATAGTGGAGGATGTTGTGATTAATGATACAGATTTAATTTAACATTTAATTTACATTTGCAATATATATAGTTAATATTTGTAAAAAACGACTAATATACATTAAAGAACATATATAATAAACTTCAACTCACAGTAAAAAAACAGATAATATAAATAAGAAACAAATTATAATAACGAATTGATGGCTCTTACAATAAAAAATTTTTAAAAGTTTTTTATAGAGTAAATTACTATATTTCCATACCGAACTCTATTAAAATTTTTATAAAAGTTCATTATAGAATATCATTATCAAAGAGGTTGTGGCTGCGCCACGATATACGTTAGATGCATGATCACGTTACTGTACTTTTGATGGTCGCCCTGGTACGGAAAGTCTACGGACACGTACCAGTCACATGACCCTAACCTATCTAAATGTTATGGACACGTACCAATTGCCGATCTTAGTTTAAGGTACGTGTGCTTTCAAGTGACTTGTACGTGTCCGTAGACTTTCCCGCCCTGGTATGCTTGTCACACGTGATTTACATTTCGTTTTAAACTGTTTTAACTGCAAAAAAAAAAAAAATTTAGTATATTAAATTAAAAGCATTTTTAAAAGTATGTACTTTATGATATAAACGCGAGATTAGAACTCTAACAAGAAAAATATACCGAAAGTCTTCAAAATCTCTGTCAGATTCATACCTTTTTCTCCTCAGGTAATATGGCACAACAGCTATTGCCGTATAAACTTCGACCTCCAAAGAACTTGTCTGCATTACATAAAACAAATGCTGATCTTGGTAAGTTAAAAGTTAATATAAGTTCACAAAAGCTACTGTAAAAGTCTAAAGCTTTAACTTTGTTAGTGGCTGTTTCATGGGGATCTGATACCCATAAAATTCTAAAGTCGATTTAAATTATTAAAAAACCAATAACTTTTATAATTTGCTTTTAGGATATCCCGATTTCTATCCGCCAAAACCAGGTCAAGATGAAGACAAAATGACTGAGGAGAATGTGCAGCATGGTTTCACTGGCGCTCTCTTTGTAGATCGAGAGTCTGTCTCTGCACAAGATATGATGCTGGATGAGATAAGGGACCCAAAAGGTCTTGAGAATCTTGGAGAGTTCATGACTGACATAATGAGACGTAAACATGAGATTAATACTTTCGAAGAGTAAGCATTTTTATAATAATTTATTACTATTGTATCTAATATTAATTTCATTTTTTATTTTTCTTCGTTGGCATAGATCTTCTCCATACACTGTACCACAAATAGTCTGGATGTCTGCTGAAAGTAGAGATAAATGGTTAGGGAAGTTAGCTGGCAATAGTCCACTTAAAGAATTGGCAAAGAGTGTTCCGAGAGTGTATGAAAGTTCACAGTATGTATTCCATGAGTACTTGTGTGGTTTATTATATTAATTCCGTCTTGGCATTTAATCTGTTACAGTGTTGAAGGTGGTGTTACTTTACTTGAGCTTGTTACTCAACATAGAGTACCTCTTGCACGTGCTACTTGGTTTACCAAGATAGTGGGGATTAATTTAATTAATTCAAGAACAACTGTAGGCTATTATATTGTTTAAAAAGTCTATTTTTATCTCCAATTTCTTTTACTTGTATATATTAATTAAAAATGTTTATTATTGGTATCTTTAGCACCAAGACAATGCTATGTTAGACCACAAAAAAAATTGGAATCAAATATTTTACTCCTTTATCCAAAAACAAAGTGGTGAATATGATCCAGATAAGTGGCGATATAGGTAAGTGAATTCATAAATTAACAAATTCCATTTATTATTGAACATGGTCGTAAATATATTACATTTATTTTTCATATTTAGTATATTACTAGCAAAATGGCAGTTTGATGATGGATTACTTGATCAACGTATTCTTAGATTGACACTCGACAGTTTGGATAAGGCTGATCATTTAAACACTATTATTTGGTTATGGTTTGTTCAACAATTTTTGGAAGAGTTCCAACGTTCTCGAACGTTAATGAGGTTGTTGATAGAAATTATCTTAAAGAAATTACAAGATGTAAGTTGTTTGTTTCTGACATTTTTTGAGCACTTTTGAGAACGTAATTAAAAAAAATTTTGATAATATTTTAGATATATCAACAACAACCTGCAATTATTCTAAAGCTCGATATTGTCATCAAGATGTTGAAGAATATGTTACATGTATGAATGCATATATTTTATTATGGTTATCTAATATATTAGTTTACTTGTTTTATGCTTAAGTATAAATATATCATTATTTGCTGTTATAGACACTTTTTCTAGCCACTCCTGATATGTTTGTGTTTCCTCTTTGTTGGAACACATATAAAGATCTCTTGCGATGTGTTTTTGTTGAAGATAATTCAGTCAAATCAGATGCTACTATATCAAAGAACATGAAACGACAGATGGAAAGATATTATGAATTAATACGTGCTAGGAATGAGGTATTTGATAAAGAAAAACCAGACATGGTCGGAAAAAGAAATGCGCAAGAGATACAACAATCTCGGATAATTGAAGTAGGTATATTGGTATTGACATTAGTGGTGTGATGTACGAATGTTTATGTGTACGTTTGTGTCGTGAAGGTTAATAATCTTATTAGATCCTAGATAAAGTTGGTTTTCATGCTGACTACCAAAATATTACAGCCGAATACTTTCGCACAAATAGTAAATTTCCAATGCTGGAAAAAGAAGTATCAACGCATATTTACTGGTTATGTCATTGGGCTGTGACTAAACATCGTGCCGGTGATTATCGTATCTACTCTGTAAGCACTATACTTGATATATGGAAGAACTCTATGACAAATACAGATGAAAAATTACAACGTCAGATTACAATTCAAAACTCTTTAATGGAATTTTTGGATACTTATCCCCTTGGCTGTAATGGTATATGTGAGAAAGATGGTAAACATTTTCACATTTCATACCTTTAAAGTGAAATTATTATATTCGTATGGACATTCTATTATTATTCTTATCCGGTATGTTATTTTAGAATGCAATATAATTGCGGGATTATTTGGTGAACTTATTCGCAATGGTCATTTTTCTCATCAACGTTATTTACAACGTTTGATCGCAAGAGGAGATGTACTGCATGATCAAAGGAAAACAGAGGTATTTCAATTCATCATTGTTATCTGTTTAATTGATTTACTATAAATGTTTTTTCTTTATATTAATTATCAATGCATTATTATAGAGGTCAAAAAGGCACTTGAAATATGTAAAATATTTCCCCCTCTTTAATGCAGAGCTTCATCATTTAAATCAGAGACGGGTCATTTTATATAATATTAATTGCGATGTAAGCTATTTGTTGTTTGTGTTCTGGTTAACTGTAATTTGTGTATATTCAAATTATTTTATTATTGGATAGGACACTAGCGATGAAGATGAATATGAATCCATGGTCACGAAGATAAAAGATAAACTTCCATACATGTTTTCAAGAACAGGTTGTGTAACATATATGCTTTCCTATTTTATGATTACTTCTTGGTTATAGCTAATTTATTTATTCATAATACACTTTATTAGATGATGAGCTAGATAGGCCGAGAGTAGATGATCCAGTTTCTGATATGCATTTGGCATTAAATTTTGAACGTGAAACAATAGAATTTATGCGGAATGTTACAAAATTTTGTCAAATAAAAATAATACAAACGTGGCTTCTCCCACAAGTGAAATCCTTTGTACAAAATATACCGTAAGTATTTTCAATTTTTTCATTAAATTTATACAGTACAAGACACTTAAAGATATATAAAGAAAGCAGCCGAACATTTATAAAAAATATGGTGTAATAACTATTATGCCTTATAATTTCTAATCCTATATAAGTTCATCCTGTCAAAACTGATAAAAAAAAAATCAATTCACCATGGTTATTTTTGATTAATAATTAGACCTTTTAATATGATAACCTTTTAAAATTGATACAAAATCTATTTACACGTATATCAGTTTTGACAGGATAGACTGTATTAGCTATTTTAGGGTTGATCATTAGTGGTCCGATCTAATAAGTAGTTTTGTTTCAATTTGACCATGCTAGAATCCGGACTGGCCGATTTAAAATTCAAATTTTTTAAAAATTTATAAATAGGACAAGAATTATGATTTAGTTTTAAAATGACATGCACAAATAATTCGTATACAATGTATTTAATTCGTATATTTTTATAGTATTGGTCCAAATAATTGGCGTAATCCGACGCAACCTGGGTCATCAATGCTAAATGCGCGTCAGTTTTCAACAATAGTAAAAGTCATTGAACTTGCAAAAGATTATAATTCATTACTAGATGTAAGTTATATCTCAATAATAGTTCATTTTATTTAATAATCTGCGTCACCTATGTTATACTAAGTTGTTATATTTTAGCTTCTGCTGTGGGTTCTTGAAAACTCGATGGAAAAATGCCTATTTCAATCAATAATTGATACATTACAGCGGCATGAAGTCGTTTGGGATGCTATGGGTAAATCGGAACTAGTACTTGATGCACTTATGAAAAAGGTAATAATGATGCATTAAATCTTTGTTATTCTTAATTTTTTGATTAAAAATGCTGTTTTTTTTTGTTTTTTGTTTTTTACAAACAATAGAACGATCAATTGCGTGATAAAAGAGAAATAGAAGTATGCATAGTGAAATACTTAATAAATTCCACACATGACTTTATGAATTCTAAAAAGGGGAAGGTTTGTATCTATCAAATTTCATGTTTGGGTTTATTATTTTCACAATTAATTGTTATTTTATTAGTTGGATCAAGATCTACAATCACAGATGAAGGTCTGTAGATGTTTTTTTGTCATTTTGTAGTCATTATCAAGTAATTAAACTTTATATATTTTTCTTCTAGTCACAATTATCTCAAGTCTTATCACGTCATTATACTCATTTTGAAGTCTACATTAGCATGAAACAATTTTCGAATCGTGTCAGAGCTTTGAATATAGATCTACGTTTGTTTCAGTCAGATGTTGATGGATTATATAAAATATTTGAATCATGCATAAACATTATAATTCAATACACTCATAATTATACTGATGAAAATTCCACTGAGGGTAGAATAGTTATTGGAATTTTTGGTGATCTATTTAGAGATATTTGTGATAGAACAATGGATGGACTTAATTTGGTTTTCAAAAAATGGATTAAAAGTCTTACTCGTACAGAGGAAGATAGCATTTTGGAGGGTGAAAATACTCTTTCATTGTTTTTTTTTGTGATACTCGTTGTTAGACATTTGATTTGCATGGAAATAATGATAGAGCATTTTTGTGATAAGAATTTAACACGATTAGTGGAAAAATTGACAAATAATAAACAATTGGATTCAAAGGAAATAATCGAATGTAAGAATTTGGTGAAACTATTAAGATTATTACTTCTGCAAGATGGTGATAACCAATCTATACAATTACCGTTGGGCACGATGGTTTGTTTGCTTGCTCTTTTTTTTTTTTATGTTGTATACATGTAATATTACTATATTGATGAGAATCTGTCATTTTATTAGGAAATTCAAGTGCTAAAGTCTTATTGTGAAGCATTATCTCACAAAAACGAATTTATTGAAATAATCTCTAACATTTTCCAAAAACTTGCTATTATTGAATATTTGATCGATTCTAAGGATCCGATTAAAAATGATCTTATAGAATTAAGAGTTCACTTTTCTAGAATTGAGTGGTTCAGACAATTATGTGTAATTAATACTGAAAGTGTATACGATCGTTTTGTGAAAGGAAAAAAATTATCAAATACTAAAGAAGTAGAAAAGCGAATTCTTAATATTATCCAAGCTGCACTAGGGGAAGATAGTATAGACATTATAGGCAAGTGTTCATTTAGTCGTTATACATAAATTCTTTGATTATTTCCGTCTTATATTGATCGTTTTATATAGATGTTGCAAAGTCTTCTCAAACGGCCACTATTTATACTCAATATCTGAAGAATATTTTTTCTCAAATAAGTTTATGGAATATACAGAAAAGTCGGATAGAATTTTGGTTATGCATGGATCAAATTATGTTAATTGAGTCTGTTATCCTTGATGATAGCGAATTGTCAAAAGTTGAGAGTTTAAAAAATGCGGTTATTGATTGGCTCTGGGATGAATTAATCTTAAACAAAGAAATCGATCGTGGTTTTGTGAGTAAAATGATTAAAGGAATAAGGGAGGATGTTAGCATTGAGGTATGTGTATTCATGTCATTTTCTCAAACATATCGAATTCATTTTAATTTTTTACCTTTAAAAACAAAAACAAACAAAAAAATTGTACAAAGTTATTTGAAAAAGGACTTTGTATATTAAAAAGATGTACAGAATTAGTTCCTGGAATCGAAGAAATTTTTAGATCACTGTTGTATCCTTTTAATTATTTTGTCGATAAAAAGATAAGCTTTTGCGATGCTTTACTAAATCAAATTAAGAAAATTCAAGAGGATTTTCCATATGATCCCAATTCTATGCAATTCCAATTTGAAAATCAAGACAATGTTTATGTGTCCAGGTGAGACATGGTATAAAATTTAATGCTATCATTATTAAATATAAAGGTTCTTACGCAGACTTTTTCCAGCATAATTTCCCGTGTTAAATTATTGGTACTTGGAGCACACACATTGACTAATCGTGTAACTGAAGTTTTTACTGCAAGTGCTCAGGCGAATGTGCGTCAAAATACAGAATATATCCTGATAGAGAAATTGTTTGTGATGTTGGTGAATTTATTGTGTGATCCACGTATTCATCTAAATGGTGGCGGATCTGCACATTTTGATCTAATATTAGATCTTGTATCGTTTTTACTCGATGGTATAGTCTTATATTTTATAACTTTGTAAATAATTCGATTAGTTTGAAATTTAATTCATTCTATTGATCTATAGAGATGGGAAAAACCGCGCGTGCTGTTATTGTTGCAGAATTAAAGGTAGAAATCTTCCAATTAATTATTCATTTGCATTTTCTCCGTATTTTCATTTTAATTAATCCGTTAATTACGTCTGTGTTTTGCAGCAAGTCAGCCAGCAAGTAAGTTGACTATTTAATTACTTAAACTTTTTTATTTTTAACCTTGCTAAATTTGTCAATTCATATGTGCATATACGAATAGCGTCATAAAATTGTTAACATCCCAGCGATATGGAGTAACAGGATTAATCGCGTGCTCCCTATTATTTTTGTTCAAGAAACAATAGGAGAGGGCAAAGAGAGTCATACGATAGAACCTTGGAAAATGATTGAAGTATTGGGCGAAGATGATGACCTCACCAGTTCACCTATTGATTTATCTTGGTATAATGCGAAAGTTTATCCGCGGCCTAATAAAAGATTAAAAAGAATTTGTTTGAACGATAGTCATAGTGCTGCAATTAATTAGTATAAAAAATTCTATGGTAACTAAACAACTGACTAATCGGATATACTGTCAAAATATGTTGTATATTTAAATTTATTTGTCTTTTTTTTAAATTTTATGAGTTTGATAATGCATTATAAACGATTGAATTGATTTAGACAATTGACAATTGACAATTTCAGAAATAATAAGATAGCATGGAACTAGTATTTCAAGTTGGTCAAAATTTTAAAATCGATTATTAGACAATATGATACACATCAATTTTTTTATTTTAAAAATTACAATAAAAACATAAAATTACTGACTTTAGAATTAAATTTACATATTATAGTAAATATCGGCAGAGAATTACTATTACTTTCATATAATGTTGGAATGCCGAAAGTTTGACTCATATAGTTATAAAGGAGAAAATACTAATAGCTCGCGATCTACCAAACCAATTTGAATAATTCTACCACTATTATAAAAAACCATATTAAATTCCGGCAATGTTTACTATTCAATTTGCTATTCTTATACCCTTTAACCGCGATTTATTTCTTAGCTTTCTTTTTATCTGTTATAAGGGAGGGTCGGGTATTCTGGCGACCTAAGAGTGCTAATAGTAAAGTTCTCATGAAAATATATAATTCCTAAAATTTATTGAAATAAAAAATTCAATTTTTTAAAAACTCGATAGTCAACTTTTTAAAAGTTATCTAAAAACTGTTTTTCTTTGCTAAAGGGTATTTTGGCGCACTACAAATTTTAATGAATCTACATACTATGTAAATTGTATTTTTGATGTCTTTATATGTATAATTATAACACAAATTACATCAAAAAAGTAATTAATCTGAATATACACATATGATCACATTAACAAGCATTAATGTTACCATTAACTGCAAATATTCTTTTAATTTTAGTTTTGTTTTTTTTGTTTCTCGATCAGTTTATTTTTAGGCAATTGTTTTTTTCTTTGTTTCACATTTTTTGCCTTGCTTTTTGCTAACTCATTTATTTTTCTTAATTTTTTTTAAAGGTTTTAAGAAATTAAGTAAAAGAAAGAGAGTTTTTCTTCATTTGTTAAGATTCTAATTTATTGACTTGCATTGAAACTCAAGAAATAGATTAATTTTAGTAAACAGGTACTAGGATCCTTAAATGGTTTGAGTTCTTTTAATGTATTATTTTCATTCTTTAAAAATTAATTTTTACTTGTAATAATTCTTTTTTTTTGTAATATTAGCTTGAATTAGATATAGGTTAGATGCTTAAAAAAAGATTAAAAATAATAAATTTTTCAAAAAAGTTTTTTTTTATATAAATTAATTTAGAATTAAATTAGAATTATTTTTTACTTAAGATATAAAAGTAGTTGTATTAATAAAATTTTGCAGTATAGCGCTTTAAAGGTTGCATTTTTTTATAATTCTTATAAGATTTATAATATAAAAATTAATTAATTTATTTTATTATTATTATTTTTATTCTTTTTTTAGCATCTAGTCTATATATTAAAATAATAAATTAGTTGAAAAATGATATATTAAAATAATAAATTGATTAAGAAAATAACTTTGAGAAATAATATATTAATTGAAAAAATAATATAAAGAAATATAAATTTTGTTATAAAAATAGTATAAATAAAAATAGATTTTGTTAAAAAAATAATATAGAATTTTGTTGAAAAGTTAATATAAACAAATAAGAACATAGTTAAAAAGATAATAGTATTTAAAAAAAGTTTTTAATTAGTTTATTAAAATAAAGCTAAAATATTAATTTGTTTTATAAATAAAGAAAGAAAAAAATAATTTAAGAGTTGGGTTGTCATCATTCAAGCAGTAGGTTTAGTGTTTAAATTTTATTAGTAGCAGAATTTTGAAAAATGGTTCTATTCTAGCAAACTTATCTGTAATTTAAGGTTTGTAGATCTTGTAATTATAGTTATACCAAGACTAACTTTGGAAGTATGCAATGTTATATGAATAAATTTAGAAAGTATATATTTAAATAAGAAGTCTGTTTAGAAATTTCAAGTAAAAAGATAGCATAACTTTCAATGATACTACTTGTGAAGATTTTGATTTGAAAAAAAATCTGAAGCAGATAATCTGTATAAGCAAAAACCTTTAAATAGAAGGTTCACTAATCTGGCTATTAGTTAATCTGAATATGAAGTCACATTATACAGAGTTAGTAGCTTGGTATTTTTGATCTTTGTTAAAAATAGTAAAGTTGAGTTTAGAGTTAATTTACCTAGTTGTGTTTTTATTAGAGAGAAAAGCAGAAAATTTTTCAAATGATTTATCAAAGAAATCTATTAATAAGTTTTCAAAATTGTGCTCATTATCTAAAAGAAGAACAATGCAAGGATTATCATTGTTATATAAGCAAATATAGATATAAAATAGAGCAGCTTTAGTACAAAGTAGAGAGTATTCTCATAAAGAGTTAATTAAGGTAATTTTGAAACCAAATTAAGTAGGCTTTTATATGATTCTACAAGTTTGGTGGCAATTTTATATTTGATATAGTTGAAGGTTTTGGTTTCATTAATATTAATAAATTGTTTTTTATAATTTGCAAAGAAAGATTTAAACTATGATTCAAGATTAGGTCTAAATTTTTTAAGTGAAAGAATATGAAAAGTTTGGAGGAATTCTTGTTTAGAAATGTTAAAAGATACATTGATATTATATTTTTTCATTATTTTGTATTTTGAAAAGAGGCTAGTTAATGGCATCTTTACTAATAAAATAATTTAAAGAGAAACTTATTAGTAGTATGTTAACTGTTTTGGCAAATTTTGAGAAGTCAATTGTTTGATATTCATCTTGGAGATAAAGATAAATTCTAGTCAAATTAATTGCTACTTAAAACTAATTTTGTAGTATATATAAAGGAATAGATTTGTATAAAGAAAGTATTTTAGCATAATTAAGTTTAATAAAAAGAGTAATAATAAATTTGTTAAGTAGAATTTTGAAAGTTGAATATAAGGGGGTGAGTCAATAGAAACCAAGCAAATTTTTTCTAAGTAAATTTTTTTTAAAGTTTAAAGTAAAATATCTCAACA